GAATGTGTTGTCAAATGTTTTACGAACATCTGAGCAGAAGCCACAGGAAAGGATGAATGCACTGTCAAATGTTTTACGAACCTGCTATTCTTATGCTGAACCAATGTTACGATCATATGGTTTTCATTTATTGATCTAAGATGAAGTTTGTCTTTTTCAACCCCAAAATTAGAAGTGAGATATAATGAAGATTTCTTTCCAAGGAAAGTTGAAATTTTAAACAAGAAACTAATGGGGTCAACTAAGGTTGAACTACATGTTGTTGTTAAGTATCTCGACATGATATTAGTCCAAGTTGCCTTATTCGAGATCTGATTATATGTGGAGACATGAAAGGAATTGGAATAAATCTTCCTTGTGATGTTTCAAGAGTTAAATAAGAACATACTCTACTCTCCTAATTAATCCCTGCTGAGTCAGGCATATCTACATCTACACTCTTCAAAGATGATAGATTCTCTTTTTAAAGATGAAAGCTTTATGGGATTTACACACAAGTCCAAGCAAATAAAGTTGGTTTTATCCAAGACAAAAGGGGGCATCAGGGTCATAATTTTGACTACGACAAGAGTTCCACAAGTGAAACATTTCTTCTAAGACTTTTATGAAGCAAAGAAGACAACAAAGATACAAGTTGATCAGATAATTCTGCATGAATGCAAGCTTGATATCATAAGTTTCTACACTGATATCTAGAGGTAATCCTGGCAATAAATGATGAAGTGAAGAAAGACCAAGTTCACCACTTTAAAGTCAAATAAAAATTGCATCAACATTCATGCATTCATAAAAACATCATTTACACAATAAACAATGCATTACATTGATACATTTGAGTGCATTCAAACATGAAGTTTTACAAATCTTCGGAATAACAAGAAGATTCATGGTAAGAAATACCTTACAAAAAGAAGGTATTCAAAACCGTAAATACAGGAATCATGCAAACATTTGAAAAAGAGATGGACGCAACGCCACAAAAATGAGCATTATCTTGAGATTGGGGCATGTTACCCAATCAACATGTTATTTTGAAAAATAATGAGAAAACGATTTTCCATAGTTTCTCATTCAATCTTTTCTTAAAATGAAATTGTTGAATAGTAAGAAAACAATTTCCATAAGTTTCTTACTTAGTAAACTATTTCTCACATCTGTAAGTCCTTCAGTGCATGATGTTTCCAAAAAGCCTTCGGGAGCTTTTTGATGTTTTCAAAGCCTTCGGGTCATCTGTAAGTCCTTCAGTGCATGATGTTTCCAAAAAGCCTTCGGGAGCTTTTTGATGTTTTCAAAACCTTCGGGTCATCTGTAAGTCCTTCAGTGCATGATGTTTCCAAAAAGCCTTCGGGAGCTTTTTGATGTTTTCAAAACCTTCGGGTCATCTGTAAGTCCTTCAGTGCATGATGTTTCCAAAAAGCCTTCGGGAGCTTTTTGATGTTTTCAAAGCCTTCGGGTCATCTGTAAGTCCTTCAGTGCATGATGTTTCCAAAAAGCCTTCGGGAGCTTTTTGATGTTTTCAAAACCTTCGGGTCATCTGTAAGTCCTTCAGTGCATGATGTTTCCAAAAAAGCCTTCGGGAGCTTTTTGATGTTTTCAAAGCCTTCGGGTCATCTGTAAGTCCTTCAGTGCATGATGTTTCCAAAAAGCCTTCGGGAGCTTTTTGATGTTGTCAAAGCCTTCGGGTCATCTGTAAGTCCTTCAGTGCATGATGTTTCCAAAAAGCCTTCGGGAGCTTTTTGATGTTTTCAAAGCCTTCGGGTCATCTGTAAGTCCTTCAGTGCATGATGTTTCCAAAAAGCCTTCGGGAGCTTTTTGATGTTTTCAAAGCCTTCGGGTCATCTGTAAGCCCTACAGTGCATGATGTTTCCAAAAAGCCTTCGGGAGCTTTTTGATGTTTTCAAACCCTCAGGGTCATTCATAAGACCTCTAGGCAGAATGTTTTCAACATTTCCATATTACTCAAAATAAGCTAAATGAAAAAATTATTGTCTTTTTCGTCTTTGCTCTATTCTTGTTAACACAAGTATGAGCAAAGAGGGGCAGCTGTAGAAATCAATTTTTTCATTTTAAATTATTATTATTAAAATTATTATTATTATTATTATTATTATTATTATTAATAGTAATATTATTTATTATTTAAATATTACAAAGCCCAAATCACAGCCCAATTACATTCAAATCCCAAACCCAAATGGAAACCCTGAATCAATTTGGGGTTTCAGCTAGGGTTTTCAAACCCTAGCCCCCAGCCGCCGTCAACATCATCAGCCGTTGGATCTGGCAAGATCCAACGGCCCAAAAGGGTTCCAGATGGAAAACCCTAGGGTTTCTAACCCTAGCAGCCAGCCGTTTCCAGATGCGGCGCCACCCCTGAAGCCACCCCGACGACCGACTCTCTGATGCCAGATGGTCCAACCAGTTGCTGCCGACGCTGTTGCTTCCACGACGCCGACCTCGTCGAGCTTTCCAGAAGCCAGCTGCCTCACCAAATCAGTGCTCTATGGTGAGTCACCGCCATAGCTTGGTGACTCACCAAAGATGCTAGATCGGACCGGTCCGAGGAGTACACTGTGGTGGCTATAAAAGCCACCACTGAACCTGCAAAAAAAGAAAGGAGAGCGAGGACAGAGAGCAACGGAGAACACAAGAGAAACGAGAGATCCAGCAAAGAAAAAAAAAGGGAAGACAGAAAGCTACCAACGAACCCACAACCAACATAAAACCAAAACAGAAAGCAAAGAAAGAAGAAAGAAACTTACCCTTGGAGCTTTGACCACCGTCGGAAGCACTAAACATCGCCGGAGAACAGAAAATACCGAAGGTATTTTCGTAGATTTACTCCGATTAGGAGTCTTTTAGGGAAAACAAAGACCGGAATCGGTCTTAGGGCGTTTAGATCTACGCTTTGGGGGTATTTTTGGTGAATTCTGACCACCGTTACGGTGGCCGGCGGCGGTGGTCGGCGGCGGAGTACGGTGGCCTATGGCTGCCGGTTTCCCTCCGGCGAGGGAAACTAGAGAGAAACCAGAGAGAACTCTGGTTCTCTCGTTTTGAGAGAGAATGGAAATAGGCAAATGAGAAGCTTGGCCCTTCGGGCCAGGCGTTTAGGGTATTTAAAACCCTCCCCAAACGACGTCGTTCTGGGGAGGGTATCTGTGTAATTTCCATCATGGGTAAACCCTTTCCGCAGTCACTCCGAGTTTATAACATTACAAATTAGTCACTAGAAGCAAATTTTGATTCTTTTAATTATGTCATTCAATTTTATTTTATTACATTTTAGTCATTATCAGTTTATATATATATTTAGGGTAAATAACTGATTTAGTACCTTATAATTTTATTAACATTTATTTTAATCCGATTAATTAAATAAGGCTAAATTACATTTTTAGCACTTAAAGTTTTTATTTATTCGAGATAGAGCCTTTAAACTTTGATAAATTTTATTTTAATCAATGATTAATTAATTAAGGATTAATTACACTATTAGTAATTTTATTTTATGATGATTCAAGTTATGTTCATTATTTTAAATAATTTTACATTTATTATTATTTTATTTATTTATAGTCATTGTTTAGTTATTTTTTACTTAATTTTTATTATTTTAATATATTTTAAATCATTACTTTAATTATTGTTTTACTATATTATAAATATATATATTATTTATTTAATAATGTTTATTTATTTTCCATATTAAAGAAAATGGCAGTCTTAATACAACTGGATGTCCTATTTTGGTATTTTAAAACTAATTATTATAAAAATTATAATTTAGTTTTATTACGTTTTTATTTATTAATATAGAAGGAAAGAGTTGTCTTAAGGTACCTAGAAGCCCTTTTCTGATATTTCTAAATAAATAAATATCTTATTTATATATTAATATATTTTCTTAAAATTATAAATTTGAAATAAAAAGATTATGAATTAAATATATTCGAAATTTTTTCTTCTAATAATAGAGACAATTTATAGTTAATAAAGTACCAATTTTGGGCGTTGTAGGTGCTAATCCTTCCCTAAACGTAACCGACCACGAATCCCTTTTTATTAATAAAAAGAATGAATTTTTGGTTAAACGCAGATCAGTTTATCTTTTAACTGATGTTTTCTTAAAAACTCTTTTAAAAGATGATTTTTAGGTATTCGACCTACCTGACTCAAAAGGCCGATGGCGACTCCCAAATTATTTTAAAAACCATTTATTCACATTACTTTTCCCATAAAGTTAATATTTTCGTGCCCGGACGAAAACCGGTTACGACATAATGTATATCAATCAAATAATTCAAATTTCTACTATATCAACCAACCTTTTTTAAAGCTTAATGAATAAGAAAAAGAATCATAAAAAAGGATCCGTTCAATACCTCGCAATCTCAAAGAAAACGAAGGGAGAAGAGTAGTGATGTATGTGACAAGGAGTCTTTCTTTATACTGGAAATCTGCAATTGATGATGAAGTTGAGCCACCTGCAGAAGGGTGTTGAAAAGCTGCCTTTCCCACGAGACAAGATGGTGAACGTTGTCCATTCATCGGAGGTTGAAGAAACTATGGCCAATAGGGTCTGCTTTATCCCTGTTCTCGACTACTAAGTTATTGAGCCAAGGGCCGATACAAAGGGTGAGCTCCCCTTTTCTGCAATTTCATTGACCTTCTTCACACGCATGTTACCTCTATTGGTTGTCTCTACTTCATTTAATATTTTATTCATTATACTTCCAACGACAATAAAAATTGAATATTCGAGTGTCAGGTAACATACTACTTCATCCATTTTTATTTGTTGCTTGGTCTGCCTGACTAACAACTTAGCATTCTTTTGGTACTTCGATTTTACTGGAGTAATTTTTTGAACTTTTCTGTGCCTTTCCTTTTAATAGTTATAACATTCGAGAAAATAACTAAAACATTGGGAAATTAATTTGTATGAAGAATATCATATAGTAAAACGAATATGATAATGCAAATTATAATGGTTAAAGCTTTACCGAGATGAAAAAATTACATTATATTTGAAGTTAAAAGATTTTAGCATTTCAGTGGGAGCACTTGCTTGCATTGCTCCGTTGTTGTATATCCATCCCTGCAGTTGTCTACAGGGCTAGACTCCATGGTTTCGTCATTATTATCATCATCAGGGATAAGTGTTTCCGCTTTCGCTTTCAAATCTTCAATATCAAAATTCCAGGTACTAATTCCCTTCTGGTACACACTCATTGATCTTGCTTCTTCTGGTGACAATGATGCCATCTTTGAAGGTAGTTGTTGTGCAGATTCATCATTCTGAAGAGCTTTCACAGGATTCAACAATAGTGATCGGAGCTCAGCTAATAAATTCTTCAGAGAAAGCTCAGGTGGCTTGGCATGCTTGAAAAACGAGTGCTTCAACAATTTCCCTGCAGTAGGCCTCTTCTTGGGATCTTTCACCAGGCACATGGCGACCATGTCTTTAAAGGACTTGGAGAACTTTTTATCACCGAGTCTTGGAGGAGCATTCTGTAGTGTCACCAGAAGAACCTTCATTGGCGGATATTGCGACAATGGCGGATGACCATGCGCAAGTTCCAACGCCGTTATCCCAAACGACCAAATATCAGCCTTAGAATCATACCCGGTCTCTGCTTGCATAACTTCGGGCGCCATCCAAAAAGGTGTCCCCGTAAAGGTATTCCTGCACCGTTGTCTATCACCAGAATCAAACATGCAAGCCGAAACCCCGAAATCAGAAAGCTTAACATCGCCATTGTTATCGAGCAATATGTTACCAGCCTTAACATCTCGATGGATATGTCCTTGTCGGTGAAGATAATCCAATGCCTTAAGGGTTTCTTTCAATATAAAACAAATCTCCATCTCTTCTAATCCGTTGGGATGAGCCCTTTTCATCGCCTCAAAACAGGAACCCACCGCCATGAACGGCATGACGACCCACAGGTTGCGATCCACAACGAAGGAACAATACGCTCTGACGAGATTCGGATGATCGACCAAAGCCATCGTTTGAGTTTCACGACGTACGCTATCCAGATTTCCATTGTTGCAGCGATCAAGATCCAAACACTTGACGGCCAGGACGGCGTTTATAGGGAGGTAGATCGCTCGGTAAACCGTAGCGCTGGCGCCATTGCCGACCTCTTCCAAAAGCTTGTAGTCGGCAGGATTCGCAGAGTAAATCCTTTGAATCTCCCCCGTATTATTCATCCCTGAAAGCTGCTTTGAAGAACCCTTGTTTTGTGTATTCATCGGATTCACGAAGAATGGAGAATTTTCTGCTCCAATTTGATACGGCGTTATAGTTTTTCGTCTCTCTCTCTCTCTATGTATATATAATTTCTGAACCCTAGAGGAAACTATAATATATTAAGGATATATTTTAATTAAATTCTAACAAACTCTTAGTGGGCTTACTATAACTGGAATTTGTGGTACGCTCACTGATAGATTCTTTTTTATTTACAAAATATTAAAAATATTCCATAAAAATAATGACAATAGAAAACAAAAATATTTTTCCATAAAAATATTAATGAAATCCATTAAAGTTTCTTGAATTACAAGCTCATATCATTAGCATCTAATGAAAATAAGGGTAACCTATAACTGATACCACCGAACTTTAGACGTTGTATCGTTTATACTATTAAATTTTTAATTTTGTCAATTATAACATTGAACTTTGATTTTCGTTTCAATTATACCACTAAACCGTTAAAACGTTAATGGCACGATGATGTGACTGACAGTTGATGATTATCGACGTAGACAACTCACCAAAACGATATCTTTTTTATTCAAATGTTAACGATTTAACGACCCATAATATAATTGAAACGAAAATCAAAATTCAGCGGTATAAACGATACAACACTTGAAGTTCAATGGTATCTGGTGTAGTTTACCCTCAAAATAATGAAGTCAATTAATGTTGGTTACTTTTTTGGTTAACTTGATTAATCAATTAGACATTTAAATCAATTTAGTTAAATATATTTCTTACTTTTTGGTTGACTCGATTAACAAATTATTCGATTGGATTAACTAGATTGGTTTATGGTTTAATGTCAAATAATTGAGAGATATTTAAATAGATAATGTCTTGTACTTATCTAGGTTATATATATATATATATATATATATATATATATATATATTATGAAACATAAGATAATTTGAAGGTAATGGCATTCCTCAAAGCTTGACTAGGTGCCAACTTCTTGAGAACCTTGATGTCTTTCTCAACAAGCTTAGAAACAATGGAAATTTGTTCACCATAGTCATCAGCTATCTTCCTAGCATGCAAATCCTCCAAGTTGCATTCAACAACATTAGTGGTTTTCTCTTATAAACCTTAGTTAGTTTCAAGTCCTTGACCTTAGTCCCAATGGCTTCAATGACAATCCACCCTCACGTTGCTACAATTCTTCTCTGCAAACATTACTCCTTGCAGATAATTTTATGTCAGGCACAATACATCCAGATATCGAAAACTGTGATAGAATGGAAACGGTTAACTTTGCTTGAAATCATCTAAATGGATTGGTCCCATCAAATACCAAATGCTTATGACTCTGTTATGTGGGAGAATAACTTCTCTTTATGGATCCCTCCTTCAATCATCTTTCCGGCACTATTCCTGACAGCCTCGGTTCCATCTCCAATTTGCGTGACTTGCTACACAACAGATTAACGGGGGAATATTCTTGAATCCTGATACATTTGAGGGTTTGAAACAAGTTTGCTTGCTTAACCTACCTAATAGTTCTCTTCGAGGCAAGCTTCCAGGATCATTGGGGCTTATCACATTTCTTAGATATTTGGATGTATCCAACAATAATCTCACTGCTCCAATTCCTTCAACCGGACAACTTACTACGTTTCCAGCATCTAAATACAAAAACAACCTAGGACTGTGTGGGATACCATTGCCCCCTTGTGACTATCATCATGAAAAATGGAAAAGACCATTCCATGCTGAGAATTGTGGGTTATTGCCGTGGTAGGATACATTTTTGGTGCAGCTATTGGAATTTGGGTTGGAAATGTCATGTTTCAAGACAAAGAGGAATGGTAGGTGGCGAAAAAGCTTACAATCAGTCGATCACCTCGAAATTCAAAAGAACCAAAAAAAAAAAAGAAAAAAAAAAGCTGAAGGACAATGTATCAAAACATCCATGAAAATTGGAATTTCTTGCTGTTCAGGATCCCAACTCCACAAGAGAATCCACAGACTTGAAAATATAACCAAGTTGAGTCAATGAAAAAAAGCTATGCTTCTAAATTCTAACTGCTCACTTGGATAAAACCAAGTTTCCAGTTGCTTCACTATTTGCACTTCATACTCTAGAACTTATAGTTTTCTGTTTCTAGATAACCTACATCAAATTGAATCATATGTATGCATCAGCAATGCAAATTTGATTTAGGGTTTGTTCAGTAGGCAGTGAGATTAAAAACAACAGCGGCAATGAGCTTGATTACTGTACCAGTGAAATGAAAATCAATGGTGGGATGCATATATCTGAATGCAAAACCAGCAGTGACAGTGAGGTGTGCTTGTCTAACAATGAGATCATCTATGCCACCAACAAAACTTGATCCACATTCCTTGCAATCATATCCATAATCTGTAACACGTGTTCCAAAACAAACCAATGTAAACAGCCAAAATGAAAGTGAAGAGGTTCCAGCTGAGTTCACCCCAAGTACCTGTAGGAACATTTTAGAAGCCTCTGTCATGTGGTTTGACTTAGCTTTATAATCTCCTCCAGCAATTTGTTGGCTGAATCCCGCACTTCCTCCAGAACTCTGAGCTTCGGATTCTCTTGGTCTAAAGTATATAAAATGATAACCTTCATTACATCGACCAGAAGCAAACTCTTTGTTGTAATGCCCCACACACCCTTATTAGCAAACCTGCATGAATCCTTTAACACGCACTGACTGCAAACCTGAAGAAAAGAGATCACCGATGACGAAACAAACAACGCCACAATATTTATACTCGATACAATAAAAGTTGTACTTGTTTGAAGTATTGAAACAATGCCTTACAGTGTCTTCTTGAATTTTAAAGATTTTTCGCAACCTCTTAGCAGAAAAGACATTAGTTTTATCAAGAGAAGGGCAACCAAAGGCAGCCACTTTCTTCAAGCGTGTGCTTGACAGCCACCTGAAAATACAATTTTTAAGGTTAAGTCATTTAGTAAAAATTCCCCCAAAATATGTGAAATTATCAAGTGTTTTTGCTCTTAATAACAACCGATCATAACGTGAAGAACATCAATCAGCCAAAAAATATATATAACAATAACACATTAGCGAACAATATGAAATCCAAAACGAAAAAAGGACAAAAGGGAAAAACATGTTCTTACTTTGCAATCTCATGATGATCTTTAGCAAACTCGTAAGCAGCAAACTTGATAAAACCTCTAGCATAAGTATTATCGAAGTGCCCAAAATCCAACTTGTTGTCCTCCAAGAAATTAGCTTTGTCAAAATACCCTTTTGAAAACAAATACCTAACGAAACCCTCTACAAACACCGAAAGATCCCTAAAAACTGTTACCTCCCCAGATTCTCTCCTCGGTTTCGCCATCCTTTTCACCTTTTTTTCCTTCTTTTCACCCCCAAACAAGCCAACCAAACTGTTAACTTTCTTGGGGTTTTCCCTCTCAACTTTCTTTTTGTCTTCCTTTTCAGGCTTTGGGTTTTTCTTGAACTCCCCAGCTTCTCTCTCCAAGTCCCTTAATGTGTTCATTAGCCCATTCTTTTCGTCATGACTCTGGCTTTCGTTTTCACCAACCTTTTCAGTTAAACCTACAGTTTCTTCAAACAACAGAGAAAGTGGCTTCTTGGTTGGTTCCTGGGGAGAGGAACTAAGGGTTCTGATTGTGAAGGACGGTAAAGGAGGGAAGAGTTTGTAAAATGAGTTATGGGTTTTGAATAGAGCTTTGGTTTGGTGGGAAATTAGTAGAGTTTTAAAGAGAGGCGTTTCAAAATGGAGGGGTTTTAGAAGGGTTTTAAGGTTCAGAGTCGCTATGGAGTTTTTGCATACGATTCCATAGAAGGTGTAGGAGATGAATGAAATGGGCGACATTGCGGTCTTTTATTAGGGAGCCAAAGCTGGACCATAAACCAGCCCATTACCTGAAGAAACCGAAGATGCGGTTTCATGCTTCAATACGCTTTCATTACTAGCTTTGTTTCAAAAGGCCCATTACCTGAAATCACTGCACCAAATGTCATTGGATTCCATGTGTCATTGCACCAACTGTCACTCAGTTCCACACGCTCCATTTTCCCTCTATGAATTCGGATTTTTTTTTTTTTGGATTAACGTTCTTTTCTGTCATGTAAAATAAATACATTATATATTTACAGATGTACTTTTAAAAATGTTTGATTCTGTCTTTATTTTTTTCCAAATAAATTGAGGAAAAGGAGGGCTCGAGATTGGCATGTATATATATATATATATATATATGTTCCCTTTTTTTCATCTTATTTTCATTGGGGGAGGTAAAGGTAAGTGTTCTTCTAACAGTTTCTCATTAGCTTAACTTCGTTATTCTTTTCTGGGTTCCAGTTGGTTTTCTCCTTAATTCGCCTTTTGATTTTTAGTGGTACTACTCTCTGCTTGTTTCTCGGCATTGAGTTTCTGGGTTATTCTATCGTACAACCGTGCGATTCTTTACTGTTTTGGTTACGTAAATCTCAAGCAAACAGAATCCATAAATTGAAACCTTCAAACTCTTTAAAACACGAAGCAGGATCCTATCATGTTAATTGATTTCTCTCAAATCTCATGACATTTTAGACTGAATAAAAAATGGTTAAGCTTCCAATTTGTTAAACATTTAAATCTTAATCTAATACGTGCACGTGTAATTCCCACCGACGACTAAAAACTAGATTTAGATTTCGGCGAGTAGGTGTAGGACAAATTCTGCAAAAGGCTTTTACTTATAAGACAAAATAGGCACAAATCTCAGTAAATATAAAAAGATGTTACAGAAATCCAACGGATGTTTAAAGCTCTTGCACTGCAAAAAGAAAGCAACTTTGCAGTGCATTGTTTTCTGATTCTCTACTATTATTAATTACTATTATATGACTGTTGTATAGTTTCAAAATCTGAAGGTTCATATATGAGCAGTATATAACGATTAATTAGGAAAATTGTTATATGAAATTTAGCATGATTCTATGTTTTCGTTATGTAATTTTCCATCAAACTTTGTTTTATGATTCAGTTATATCATACGAGTATAATTGAATCATACTCATTTGAGATTACCATACGAGTGCATAACCAAACTATCTCAGTAGACGGTTCTTATTTTTAGAAGTTTTAGGTTCGTGCATTAGAGACTATAAAGACATTTGAGCTTTCAATGTTAAATGATTGAGAATTTTTAAAATATATATTACTTTATAATAATCTTATATTAATAAAAAAGTTACCATACGAGTATAATTGTCATATGAACATGCAAAGCTCATGATATTGCTGCCAACAGTTTCATATCAAATTTTCACTTTGTTGGTCCCCCAAGGACCCTCCCCCTCCAAAAAAACTCAGCTAATTATTTGCCACTTTGGCGGAAATTTCTAGTGGTTAATGGACCACAGTTTTTTTTTTTTTTTGGGGTGGGGGTGGGTGCTGTTGTCAACCTTGCTCATATGGAACTAGAATATTTTGTATGGTTGTTTGTCTCTTGCATCCTATAAAAATACAGCATACCTTGATTTAGATTTGTGCTCAAGTTTTAAGCCTTCCTGACCATCTTTTTGTGGTATGTTTAGATCACCTCCTAATTTCTTAATGCTTTCGGAAAAGCTTTTCATACTTAAAATAATGCATTTTTTCCTGCATTGTTTTTCTTTCTTTGAAATTTTCTGATTCTTCCATGTGGCTGAAACTGACATGCTTTATAGTATTAAAATGCAGTTCTCAACTCTTCAATGTAAAATTCCAGGAAAGATACATGTAAGTTGTAGGCAAAATTCATAACTGTGCAACATCTACAGGAAATACTTATTAGGCTATCTCCACCGCTTGATTTCGTCCCTTGCATTGAATGTTTTGCCCAAAATGAAGTTTCATATATAGTGTTGGAAAGACGAGCTTTTTGAACTTTGTGAATGTTGAAAAACATGTCTTCAGAGCGTGTCATTGAATGATTTTTCTATCCATTTTCCTCTTCTTGTTCTTCATGCTCCTCTGTATTTGTCTTCACCTTCTTTTCCCGCGTTGTTGAAAAGTTTTCCTTTTTTTCACTCTGTCAAAACAAGGCTAATTAGAAGTTCAAAAAGGTGAAAACAAACTAACAAAAAGCAAATTCCATTCTCCAATAAAGATCTTGGTTTGTGTTGAAGCGTTTTGCTTTTTATTTTTTTCAGTCAACACGCTGATCACCTCTGCATCTCTCCCTTAATTCTTTTGTTCACTTGTAATTGGTGTATGTTAAAAGTTGATTGAAGATATTCTATCGTAGTAGACTTATAGGTGGTGTTGTCATTTGTGATATTTTGCAGATGGAGGCGGTGAAGCCATCGGCTATTACTCCATCAAAGAGTAAACGGGTTCGAATGTTATCGAAAGTTCTTCACCTTCACACTGCTACGGCTGGGATTGTCCCTGATCACGGGGTTCAGAAGGTTAAGCCAAAAGAAACCGAAGAATGGAACGACAGTAAGAAAGGCAAGAGAATATCTCAGAAATTCGACAATTTACAGCATGATGAAGAGCTTGAAAGAAGGGTTGCCTTGGAAGCTCTTACTGCAAAAATATTTGCTACCGTTTCTGCTATTAAGGCGGAATATGCTCAGCTTCAGTTTGCTCAGTCACCTTATGATGCTGAGGGGATTCAAGCTGCTGATCAATCCATAGTTTCAGACTTGAAGAAATTGTCAGAACTGAAGCAGTGTTTCCTGAAGAAACAGTATGATCCTTCCCCAGAACATGCAATGGTTTTAACTGATCTTCAGGAGCAGAAAGGCCTTTCAAAGACATTCAAGATTATGGGAAAGAAATTCGAATCTCAGCTGAAGCTCGAAGAGTCTCAGATATTTTTTCTTCGAGAAAAGTTGGATGAATCCAATATGCAAAACAGGTTACTGGAGAAGAGATTGAATCGAAGTGGTCAGTTATTTGTACACGACAGTCTTCATCTATCAAGCTTGAATCCTAGCCATTTCATTACCATTCTTGGACAAACTGTTAAGTCCGTTAAGAGTTTTGTCAGGCTGATGATCGATGAAATGAAGTCCGCTGACTGGGATATCAATGCCGCGGCTAGTTCGATAGAACAAGGCGTGGTGTATTGGAAAGAAGATGACAAATGCTTTGCATTTGAGTCCTTCATTTGCAGAGAAATGTTCAAGGCCTTCCACCACCCTTACTTCTCTCTTTTCGGCAACTCTATGCCGGAGGGAAAGAAACACCCACAAGTTTTCTTCGACAGATTCATGGAACTGAAATCCTTGAAATGTAAGGAATATCTGACCATGAAACCAAAGTCAACATTCGCCAAATTCTGTCGTGCCAAGTACTTGCAAGTCGTTCATCCTAAGATGGAATCGTCATTTTTCATCAATTTGAGCTGTAGGGACATGGTGAGTTCCTATCAATTCCCAGACACCACATTTTTCACCTTATTCGCCGAAATGGCAAAGCGGGTCTGGCTTCTGCGCTGCTTAGCCTTTGCTTTCCAGCCAGGGGCATCAATCTTTCAGATAAGCAAAGGGTGTAGATTCTCTGAAGTATACATGGAAAGTGTAGATGAGTAAACATTCCTTTGGTTGGATATTACACCGGAATTGGAACCGTGGGTGGCTTTCACCGTTGTTCCGGGATTCAGGATTGGTAAAACTGTAATACAGGCCCGGGTCTATCTCTCACAAATGAAGGCAAGGTAACTCTGTGACTGTTAGTAGCACAGGCAAATACATCGGATCCACAACATGGTTAGAGTTGAACTGGATGTCATTATCTCAATTCTTTTTTGTAGTAAATTAGATTGAGGAAAATGGCTTTTGCTGGTTAAGGTATCTGTTGTGGGGATTTGAAATATGGTTAGGCAACTTGTCTGCTTGTTTTGTGGCCTTGAAGGTTCAGTCACCGGTAATTTCTTTGTAAGACACATCCCCCAATTTTGTCGATATTAGGCCAATGATGTTTTTAGCTGGTTTCCATTATTACCTTACTATATCCATTTATATGCGTTTATAATTATAGGTAGGGACATACATATACGTTTTTAGTTAAGGGCGAACTATGAAATTTCAATGATAAAAATATATTATTAATAAAAAGATATATATATTATATTGAAATTTAAAAAAATTAGTTTTAGAAGAAGGATAGCTCCCTCAACCCCTTATACCATCCTGATTAAAAATTGAAAACTTCTAAACATTCATCATATCTATCATGCATGTATGATTCTGACTTGTGTGTCCATTCATCCAGTGGCAGATTCACGGCTCTTCAAAGGTGGGCATGTGTATATCTAAAATCTGAATTTTCTTCGATTAATTATATATTATATTGATGATATTCATTTTGAAATTTTATTTGTATTCAACTCATTTAAAAAATTCATATTATTAATATATGTATGTCCACCATAAAAAAAAAATTAGGATCCACCGTTGCGTAAGTCATGCCACTGACTCCAAAGGACGTTGCAATCCCTGTTTCCGTATCATGTTTGTGTTATTTTTTAAAAGCATAGAAAGTAACCCATAGGAGAGTCAAAATGCAAAAACCAAAATCCAAACTGTGAAACCAAAATCCAGTTATTAACCCAAAGTGATTCCTAATTGTGAATTCCAACATAGTAATTCATAGGTTGTTGAAGCTAAGCTGTTCTGTCTCTGGAAATGGAATCTTTGAAGAAATAAAAAGGCCTTTTAGATATCATAAAAAATGTGTGTTGGTTTGCAAAATAACTTTGGACGTCACAGAAAGCATTAAAATTCAATGTGTGCTCGGTCATGGAAGGACAAAAATATTTGTCAAGGATATGATAGTATTAATTAATTTGATAGAAATAATTTAAAAAAATAACACGAATACAATAAATAAACGCACAGGGGAACGAATTTCTTTTGCTTGAAACATAAAGACGGCATGGGATTGTTTGAATGGTTATTATCAAAATGAAATGG